TACTTTGAATGGTTGAGGAATAATTGCTATAGGCTCTTATTCTGTGCCCTAGCCCCTAACCCTAACTCCCAACCGCAGCCCCAAACCCTAACCTAGCAGTATTGTGTCCAGCAGGTGGGGCTATATAACGACATCTTACCATGCTTCTGCGCCTTCGGGCCATCTAGAAAGTACTTCGCAAATGTCAGGTATCTCGAAGAAATGAATCGGTAATTCGATTATATTAACGTCCGCGAGATTATTGAGTGTATTAAAGCAAACAGACAATGACTGTTCTGACGATTATTGTTAAAGAGGCTTATCATCAAATTTCGAGTCCATTCATACAGCTAAAGGGAATATCTTTTTCATAAAAATCTTACTGCTGAGCTCCACCAGGACTACCTATAGTATGGTAGCAACTAGGGAGTGAGAAACTCAAACCACTCATCATAACAATTTCGCATTCGGAAATCCAAGTAGGCGGGGATTGAAGACGCATCAGCACACACAAAACCGAAGTCAGTGATTGGTGCAAAATTGTCGCTATTAATTAATTTACTTGGAAATTGGTGAATTTAACTATTTAATTGTTAACAATCTAACCAGTGGTTATTGCAACGGTAAATCTAACCCTAATCCTAGCCATAACACTGACCTAGTTTTTGGATCTTAACCTCAACCTAGCCTTAATCCTAACCCAGCCCTAATGGCTATGCCCAACCCTAACCCACAACCTCAGTTCGAACCCTGGCCCGTAACGTAACCGAAACCTTACCCTCAACCCAAAACTCTAAGCTTTACCGAAACATAACCTTAAGCGCTAAACCCTAACTCTTGACCTAGCCCTAATACTTATACCAGCCTACGACGCAAAATGTAAGAATTGGCCCTAGGGGGAAACCACACCGCCCTGCCCCTTTTTACCGCAAACTGCTTTTTCATAAAAACTAGCACGCCTACCGAAAACAATCTCAGTAGCAGTGACAAGGAGATTTCACAAAGTGCGGCTGGTTTGTTAGCCCCCACAGTCCCAACCATGATTTTATTTTGTTCAATTTGTCTATCACTTCCGAGAATGGACAATGACCTGGAGAGCGCTTGCAGAAAAAAAATTAAATAAGTATTTTGAGAGTGAGAAGAATTTCAGGCGATGCATTGACTGATGCTGTAAGTCAGCCATTCAGCGCATTGAAAGTTATTTGCTGAATATGCGAGAGCCGTGATTATACAAGAGTTGTCTATGTTTTTTCCCAGAACTGTTCGATTAAGAAATTTGCAATTAGACTTATGTAGGAAAATAAGCATGCCACAAAACTGACTCCATCATCGTCAGAAAGGAATTTATCGGGACTGGCAACCAGGAAAATAAGGGAGCTTTCGCAAAGGGGATGGCCAACATTCTGGATAAAAACGCATTAACGAATACACACAAACCCTATTTGAGAGTAACTTACCAGTATCTCCCAACTCTCATGATCCATGAATAAAGAGAAGATACGGGAAGGGAAGTTACCTACCTACGATCTCTACATGAGGATATCCAGAGTGACAAATAATATAGGGCATCGGCGGTCAGATGTGGTTATGTAGCGGCACCTGAGGTAAACAAACCCCAGCCACCTGTAATGCGGGACTGATGGTGATAGAAGTTTTTACATTTGGGGCCATGAAACGCGCAGGCGACGAAGTCGAGTAACTGCATGCAAAAGAAAAGCTATTGGGGATGCGCGGCCGTGCTTTGGGTGGTTGAGAAATAGCCGACATAATTCCCAACCCAAACCCCACCCCCTAACTCTAACCCCTTATACTAACCTCTAACCCTAACCCCAACCCAAACCACTAAACCTAATCCCAGACCCCAACCCCGACCCTAACTCTTAATCGCAGCCCTGAACCCTAACCCTGGAACATCCAACTCCGAAGTTAGAACGAGACAACAGGTCGAAAGTCAAGAAGGACCACCGGCATTGGACCAAAAAGGGAGACATGGCAACGACGAAACAAGGCGCCAACTGAACACACGCCGCAACGCGCAGCAACACCACGCCAATGCAATCACACCAACTCAAAATAATGAAGCAAGTCAACAGTATTGTGTCCATCAGGTGCGGCTACATAACCAGATCTCACCGGTGCATTCCCCCAGTGGCTACTCGGGGCCCTCACACATCTGTTCTGTGGGGGACCGAAATCAGACGCCCACCGAAGTTTGGACATTATCTGCTCTGCAAGTAAAACGTCACCACGTCAACGGGAAACGCTGTCATAAGGATAGGAGGTTGGTATTAGTGGTCGATCCTAGCGAGCCCATTATTGTCTACCAGATGATATTCTCTAGTTTGGCCTGCAAAGGTGCTGGAAAAACGGGTGGCAAGCTGGGAGCGCGGCTAAGTGGAAGCTAGCTGGTGGTACTGTGAAGTACTTAATTATATTAAGACCCCCCCCCGTTATCACCCGAGCGGCAGGTCATAACTGGATCGAAAGTACTGGCATGAGTAATCTGCAAGGCAGGCTAGAAAGAGGCTGAGGATTGGACCTCTGACCGGCGATCAATAAACGGGTACATCTAGGCTAATTTTATGATGGAAATTTGACAAGGACGTTTCTGGTTCGATAGATCGTCCAATACTTGGCAGAATGACTTTATATAGTGTTTATGTGTTACTGCTTATGCCGTCCCTAATGAGAAATTGTTGCACTAGCCCGAAAGGGGTTTCGAATGGCGCGCAAACTCCACCTCATCCAAGGCCTATAAATAAGTCAACGTGATGCCCTTACTTCCGAAAAGCTAGACCCTGGTCACAAGTAGCTTATACGCTCAACAGCGCGCAGAAATGCAAACGACAAAGCATTTAGGGTGACAAATACTCAAAAAGTTGGTCAGCTAGGCTGCCGCATTATGCAGAGGATACTACACAACTACAAATTACCCGTCTGCATGCCATTGTCATATACAAAATCGGAGGGTGCACTCTTCCCAAGCTTGAGTCTTGCTGAACTTGGCCAGTTGTCCTTCTAAGAAGCAGTCAGTCATGTTTACCAAGTCTCCAGTTTGATAAATTTGCTTAATCTACGCTCGACAGCCTGCGTATGAAAACCTTAGAGGATGGCATCGAATCAATCAATGAAAGGACTGGTTGGTAACGATTCATCATTTAGCACCTAAAAACCTAAATAATTAATGTCATGTCTGGGAAAGTGGACGGGTGTGTTTGTGAACCGTCAAAGTCACCCGATGTGGCAGGATGCGGGCAAATATGTTACGCTCCGCTCGGGCCAGGGTAGTTGAAGGACCTGAGTGAACGCCATCCGCGAACTTTAAGTTGGATTGGCTAACCGTATGACCACCGCCTCTGCCGCAGGTGCAGGAATTTTGAGTGCTTCGCCGGAACCTTTTGGATGGCTGGATTGACATCCACTTGGTGGCCGTTGACAGCAAGGTGAGTCAAATTTGCGCTAGAAACTGAATCACCTGTATTTCTATTCAACCGGACAGGCTGGTATCTTGCCGTTTGACTAGTACTGGATACTCCACAGGAGCAACTGCAGGTGTAACTGCACGAAGTATGAGCATCAGAAATGGTCTCCATAGATAGCGGCTGAAAATCTTGTCAGCCAAGTGCCAAAAAACTGGTTGGAATCATTCATCAAAAGTGGCTTCCTTGTGAGAAAGGAATGTCAACATTTGCCACGCTATCAGTCAGAGAGGGGCCTTTGATCTTCAAATGAAGAAAATTTTCACAGAAAAGGTCTTTCAACCACTACGCCCAAGGATGAGGGGGAAAGTAGTTTGCGCCCTCAAAATATGCGTGGCCAATCAGGTCGCATCTTCTATATTTCGTTCTTTGGAAATAAATCATGGAAGGAGGACTGCTACCCTTAATTATACTATTTCACGCGAGGAGGGCTCCTAGAGGAGAAATACAACAGAAAAATGCCCAGAGATGAAGGTGCGAAGACAGGAAGGCGTTTGGTCTGGAAATATTGCAAACCATGAGTACAGCATCAAGTGTCCCGAAAAACGGTATAAACTTTGCCAGAGGACTAGTAGTTGCAGGATCAAGAGAATCCATAACAAACGCCGAACTACACCCACAAGTGAAAATAGCGGCTTCCAATGGAAACCGTGAGTTAGTACGATCTACGGTGAATTTCTTCAATGGTTTAAGATCATGAACAGCACTTACGCAGGTATCAAGGAGTCTACAGGACTGGGAGCGAATGGAGACTAAATTGAGGATCGCGGAGGACGTTCATCCACGTCCTCCAACTCCCGTGGCCAAGGCGGAGCTTCGTATACTCCTCCTCACGCTCTGTCACATCTCGTAACAGGGGCAATTTAATAGTCCAAATAGCGATAAATCGGTCCGTAAACTCTCCAGATAAACTCTTCCCCAAATGAAACCAACCTGAAGACAAACGGGCATTTTCTGCGAGAGCTTGCATTAAGGGGTTGAAGCGAGTAATCTCATTTGACACAGGGCTTTATGCCCTGGCGTTTGCAAGGTTGCGCCTAACTCTCTGCAGTGTTAACTCCTGTTTGACATGAAGCTGTCGAAGAGTTGCCGTGAGCTAGGAAGTCTAGGGCGAAGCAAAAATTTACACTAATTTTTTTCTGTTGGAAGCCGATCCGAGTCACCTGATCAAACCTGTTTACGCTAACCTTTGTTAAACTGGAGAGGTTATCTAAATTTTACTTGCATATCCTGCTCATTTAAACAAGCTCTGCCCCGCTGAGGTCATCGCGGTTTTCCAGAATGATCGGTATAAGTGAACTTACCAATTGCCCCCTATGCAGTAACGTAAACATTTTGTTAACGCAGTTGTTACATGAGTCGGTTGTCAAAAATCCATCCGGACACCTCGGTTTTAGGGTCACCTCGGTAGACTGCTTGCGTATAAAAGGAACTCGAATTGTTTTTTAAAAAATGATACCCTTCTGTCACCTGCATCGTGGGAAAATGCATTTGCTACTTTTTGTAACCGCACTCTGCCTGTCGGGGGGAGCAGTAGAGGGAATGTTTCGTGAATTAGAGGCTCTCCACCAATGGTATACGTGGAAGACTGAGCTCGGTAAGACCTACAAGGACAGCTACGAGGAGGATCTGCGCAGAAGCATATTTATGGCTAATATGCGATTCATCGAGGAACATAATAACCGATTTCAGCAAGACCTGGAAACATACGCCATGGCAGCCAATCAATTCACCGATCTTACTCCGCGAGAGTTTTCGGCCCTGTATCTGCACAAAATGCAGACACTGCTACCGCCCGCTGCGTTACAGCGTCCTCGAATCAGCCTCCGACTTGAGGACCTGCCAGCCCAGGTGGACTGGCGCAACATGGGTGCGGTAACACCGGTGAAGGACCAGGTATTTCAAGGTTTACTTTGGCAGCTTTCCCTTAAAAGGCTCCGTATTTAGGATTTGTGATTACTTAAGTTTCTACTTTAAACTGAACTGAAATGACTCTCTCTCAAAAATTGCCTTAAAGGCAGTCATAGGCGATATAAGTAAAGGTTCAATTGGGCTATCATTTTACTGATCCGGAGAACTGAACTGTAACTTGCTAGCGCGTAGAAAAGAGGTCGGAGACAGTCGGAGGAAGTATCCGTGTGGTTATCGACATCTCGTGGATGCGCCTTGGAAGGACTGACTGAAAATGTAGATCCACAGTAGGTAAAATCTCGTTTCCCTACGGTAGACCTAGCAGTCTCTCTAAAAATACCTTACTTATTTTAAATAGGCCCGTTTGTTACCATTATAGCCATATTTTTACCAATAGGGAGACTTGAGTGGCTGACAGCTCTTCGCACCCAAGTGTCTTGTGCGTATTTAAAAACCCACGCTGTGTATTAACGAGGCATCTAGAAACCGGACTCCATCCTCTTGTCTGGATTTTCGGTCGAAGTATACTTTTCCCCTCCCCTGAAAAACATTCGTTTTAGCAAGGCGCGGTAGGGTTAAAAAGAACCTTTGCATGCGTCTTCAGTCACTCACACTGAAAACCAGTATCAAGTGCAGCTTGGAAACATTACATTAGAAAGCGTCAGTCATGCTGCTTTCAGAAACAGCAAAGTTGTCTATGGTCTGTCAGTCAGACTGAGGTCATAAATTTTTTTAGAGGCATCAGCAGTGTATTTAAAGTAAATCCCCGCCCATCTACTTTGCATAGCGATAACTTATGGTCACTGCTGGTGCAGCAGTCAAGACACTTGCGAATGAACAGGCCGATTCCGAGATGGGCAACGCATACTCTTTGAAATGCCCCATGTCTGTTACGAAAGGTGCCTGCTTTCCCCAATGTATTTTGAATCGCAGCTTTCAATGTCATCTCAGACCCTCAGATGGGCGCGGAGTGATATAAATTCTACTTGTTTGATTTCAGTAGACAGTTTTATTACATTGGTCGCGCGATGTAATGCCCTTGACAGCACAGGTACTGCCTTTCGGCAATTTACTAATACTGCGCGGTTATTCCGCAGTTGATGATGGACTTCAACCCACATACTCATTTAAAATTTCATGCTGAGTCCACAAGTCTCAAATGGATTGATTTAGCCCAACTTAAAGGATGAAATTTTTATTACAAATTTTTAGGGAGCCTGTGGATCTTGCTGGGCGTTTTCGGCGACTGGAGCGGTGGAAGGCCAACTGAAGTTGCAAAAAGACGAGTTGATCAGTTTATCAGAACAACAGCTGGTGGACTGCAGTTGGCCGGAAGGCAATGAAGGCTGTAATGGCGGCTTGATGGTCCAAGCTTTTGAATATTTCCTCCATCACGGCAGTGAGTCTGAAGCCGCTTACCCCTACATGGCCAGGGTAAGTCTGAATTGGTTCTTTTCGTATCATGTCGTACGTGTTGACATTCGAACGCTGAAAAATGCATGGAAGATTTTCATGGAAATTCAGGAATTACCACTGAAATCCTTAAATATGCCTCCAGGAAGATTATAAAAACTGATTTAAAGTAGGCGGATATATCATGGTAAGTTGACTTTGCACAGAGGATCTTCACGCTCACCTACTAATCGCTCTAGGACAACATAGATACCTTTCATCACATATATAAAGAGTTCTTTGATGCATAAAAGAGTGGTTAATTGTCTTAGGATGCAATAACATGGCACATATTCCGTTTGGTCATCCTAGGAGGAATACAGTATTTTCGTATTCTGGCTTTTGGAGGCATTGAAGGAATTTTTACAAGTCGCTCCTCGCAGTTCAGAGGTCATAGAGCGATTGTTTGAATGCCTTTGCAATCTCCCGTCGGGGGATTTATTGAGCCTCCTTTTTAAGAATGACAAATGCTCCAACCACACCAAAATGTAAGTATTTTTTGAACGTCTGTTCATGCCAACATACAGTAGGTGGGCTAACTCATGAAATGCCAACCGAAATTCCGAAATGCGCTTTTATTTCGAAAAGCTTATTTAAGTAGTGTTGTAAAACTAGTCAGCCTGCAACGTACTTCTAGAATATTTCATTTACCCCGGGATTCCAGTTTTCGAATGAACTTCATTCCGGCTGCATGCAAAAACTACACTCAGCAAAAAGTGACTACTTCAGTAGCATGAATTTTTCTCATTGTTTTTCGATGCCTTTAAAAATTCAATTATTTTTCATAGAAAACATGCACAAAACTATTCATTCCTTTGTTCATTCGGTAGGCAATTACAGTGTGTGACCGATCATATGAAATGTTGACGAAATTCTGAAATGTGCTTTCGATTAGGAAGGATTACTTAAGTGGGGTTGTAATATTGATTAGCATGCAACATTGTCCTATAGCATTTCGGACTCACCAGGATGTCAGCTTTTGGATGCACTCATTTCTGGTCTCTTGCAGAAACCGCGGTCTGCAAAAATGACGACTTAATTAGCATGCGTTTTTAGTATTGATTTTCGATGTTCTTACAAATTCAAAGATATTTTATCGAAAACGTGCACAAAATATGCCTTATTTTGCTCGTTCGGTAGAAAATCACACCGTCTTCATATTTATGGCCCGAAGAAAGTGTATATTTCGGTTTTAAAAAAGTTCCTGTTTGTGAGTTTTTCAAGACCTTGCGATGTCCATATACACAACATCGTACACGTCCGTTTACCAAGGCTTCTCATGAAATGTACAACGCAATATAAGGTGACTTCTTAAAGGCGTAGAGGAATGTATGATTACCCTTAAGCGGAAAGCATGCATCTTGTAAAATGAAATCGCTAAACGCTAATGCAATGACAGATCTGGCTTAAAAGTATTTGGGAATTGGAAAACTTGTTCAAAATCAAAATACACACTGTCTTCGGGTCTAACATATGAAGATGGTGTGATTTTATACTGAACGAGTAAAATAAGGCATACTTTGTGCACGTTTTCTATAAAATATCTTCGAATTTGTAAGACAATCGAAAATCAATACGAAAATCGCATGCTACTTAAGTAGTCATTTTTGCCGATCGCGTTTCTACAGGAGACCAGAAAGGAGTGCATCCGAAAGCCGACGTCCTGGTGAGTCCGAAATACTAAGGATTGTGTTGCATGCTAATCAGTATGACAACCCCACCTAAGTACTCCTTCCTAATCAAAAACACATTTCAGAATTTCGGCCAACATTTCATGTGATCGGTCACGCACTGTACGTCTTCTTTAAATCTTATGCTCAAAAGGAGAGTATAATTCGGTTTTCAAAAACCTTTCCAATTCCCGAATAATTTTGAACCCACTCTACCGTTTCACGTGGATTCAGGGTTTCCAAACTACGAGCCGTATATTTTCTGCGTACGGAGAACCACACATTTCTCTATGGTAATAAAGGGAAACCATATACGGTTCATAAAATTTAACAGCGAATTTGATCAGTAGTGTTGACTTTACAAACCACATCGGTAAATACAGAGACATGACGATTTATGAACCGTCATTTCACGGTATTTAAAAGTCCCTGAATTAGACATTTTTTAAAACCGAATTATGTCTCTCGTTCGGGTATAAAATTAGAAGAAGACGCAATTTTCTACCGAATGAGCAAAATAATGAATATTTTTATGCATGTTTTGATGAAAGATAATTGGACTTCCAGGCGCATCGAAAATCAGTAAGGAAAATTCATGCTCCTTCCGCTCCTTTTGACTGAGCGTAGTTTTTGCATGCAGCCGGACTGAAGTTCATTCGAAAGCCGGCATCCTGGGGTAACTGAAATTTTATAGAATTGTGTTGCAGGCTGATTAGTTCTATAGCCCTACTTAATTGATCATTTCGATACGAAAATGCATTTCGGAATTTCGGTTGACATTGAACCCACTGTAGGAAGAAGGGGAAAATAGCTGTGGAGGAATATGTAATAGGTGATGGAACTAATGAACTACGCGTAAGCTAACGTAAAACGTCAAAATAAACGTAGACTGATTTATATGCATAAGTCAAATCTCCCACTTAATGTTAAATGACTTTCACTCAAACGTAAAGATAATGGAAGTGTTGAAAATGATACTGCATGAACAAAAATGACGTTTTCTCCGGAAAATCTGAAAAGCCGAATGGTCAACTATTCGTATAAATGTTCAAAAACTATTTACATAAGTACGTAAATCCTGCCCATGAAACCGAATGAGAAAATTACACAGCTCTCAAAAGTCTCCTTACACTCGTTAAGTAAATATCCTCCAGGAATTATTGTAACCTGCAGTGTGACAGTTAACTGTGTTCTGAAATGGCATTGCTAAAGTTCAATTGGTATATAGCTGGCTGATGACTGTATATAAACGGGAAATGCAATTCTGCCGTCCCTGTCTTTGTCCGTGCCGGTGGATGCGCTTCCGTTACAGCCGGGTACACAGGCCGTGTGCGTGGTTACTCAGTGACTTGTGTCATCCTTCTTTTTCTGACCCACTTTTGTTGTTGGTTAAAATTCTGGCCAAGTGCTTGTTGTGAACCAGAAGGCATGGCGATATTCCTAGATGCGGGTCCGGTCATGCCAGACGCCTGCGCCCTCTCTTGCCTCCTGTATTCTCGACTCTGTCTTGACACTGGGCCCAGATGGGAGAGGGGGAGAGAGTGCGGTAGATGCTTTGCAAGTCCACTGCCGCTATGAGTTAATTTACGCGACACTTCGGTAGCTCCAGGGGGCGTATGGATACGCTTTCCGTTTGTGTTTAGTAACGCACTTTAGAAAATCAACAGCGTAACTTAGGCATTTCACATGAAAGGGATTGCGCGAAAAACCACTGTTTTATTACTGACCTACCTTTCTAGTCCACCAAACGGAAGTGGAACAGTTAACTCGTGGTAGATAGAAACATGCGAAAATCATTTAAAAGTCTTTAGAAGAGTGTAGGAGAATCGTTAATCGTTATGTCACGATAATTTCTTGGAAACTAGATGTCTTAATCCTCGTTGCACGGACTGATATTGAAGCATCAGTAGATAGGCAGAACGTCGGATGCAGGCAAATCGAGGATTACTGAGATCAAGTTATTTCATGGGACGTGTTGACTGCCCAGATAGTTAAGATACCATCGTATTCTGAATCCTGGCAAACTTTGGTAATTGGGCCACAACTTTTCCCTCTATTTCCCTAGGAAAACTCCTCAGTTTTAGCCCAGGAAATGGATTGCTCGACAAAGTGAAACTTATTCGTCCATCCGCGCTATTTAGTGGAGTTTTCTACCGACTGCATTCCTATATCCTTTAGGCAGCATAAGTTAATTGCTCGGCTCGATGGTACTGAAATCTACCGTAAAAAAAGTTTTATCGAAACGAATAGGAGCATTGGAATGGCCGTTTCTGGTTCACCTGCTTTCATCAGTCAACCATACGTCAACTGTAGTTTGTGCACCTACGAGTTGAATCCAATGACCCTGTTTTTGTCGACAGAACTTCTCGGTTATTGGTTGTTACTTGCAGTGGGGTGACTGCCTAAGTGTGTTGTAGGTGCATGGCTTTAAGGCAAAATGGGCCTGCCTATTTCTGTCTTGCAAGTCGAGTATATCAATAAATAATGATATTTCTACTTTTGCCTACATTGACCCATGGTGTTTGAGGAACTTTTTGTTGAAAAATTTACCTATATCATGATAAAGTTGTCTTCTATTTCGCAACTCCCTTGACCCTAGAATTCTCAATGTCAGTACCGCCAGTCAGAAGTGGTTGCAAATGTGCTGGGCTACGAGACCATAGAAGAAGGCAATGAGACGGCTCTGATGGAGGCTGTTGCCATAACTGGACCGATCTCCGTGGCTATTAATGCTGGCTTGCCGGGTTTCATGTTTTATAGGTAAGTAAGGCGCGCAGATAACTGATGGCACCTACGTCAACCAACTAAATCGCCTTCATCTCAGTTCCGAATGGGTGTGTTTTTGTGGACTGCGAACTGCAGGAAGTAGTATGATTTCATTGTTTCTGAAAGCGGCTGGCACAACTGTATGCCTCGCAAAATCTCGAGGCAGTTAAGATTGTGCACTGTCGAATATTTTGGGATGCGGATGATGAAAGACAGCCTTCTGGAAGCCCTCTTGAGTGGAATGAATCGCGTGAAATGAAAGGGAAATCGGAGTGAACAGTTTGTGCCAATAAAGGCCAATAATGGTTCCTGGCATTTTTTCAGTTAGAAAAAATTAAGCCAAACCAATTTCCATTAAAATGCAACCGATTGTTAGATACTGATATCGAGGAAAATAGGCCACTGTTAAACCTGCAGGTAGGGTGTGATAAGTGAGTACGATCAGTGGGGATTTGAAATCATGTAGGAATACCCCACCTTTCCAGGAATGGCGATGACTGATAGGATTCATAGGTTCGGCTTCCCGACTAAATAAACATTACTATTTGTGAAGTACAACGATTTTAGTAGCTTATTTACTATGATTACACAAGGACGTCCACTCATTCCTGAAAGAAATGACAGAACGAACAATACGTCCAAAAATTACGTTCTCTTAAGACCTTGTATTCGAAAACTTAAAACAATTTCCCACATTAGACGTTCGGTAATGCAAATATTTTGCTGCATAATGAACATTTCGCAAGAGTTCAAGGTTTACCGATTATTCCGTTTCATGCCCTTCTTAATGTTTCTGAAACTATAAATACTGACACCGAGGAATCAGCGGAACAACCAGCAGTGGGTTAACGAAACCCAAGAATAGTAGGCCATACGTGTGTTCACTTGAAGGATACAAGGGATCACTGGTCTGTGAGTCTCTTAGACTAGAAGCTTCCCTTCATTAAAGCGATACATCTTAATGGGCGGTTTCTGCCCACGAGATGATTGTTTGCCGACATAGGCACTCTCAGTCGTTTCGAGGAAAAGTGTTTAATCGCATACAATCAACGACGACCACCTGCAGACTGCATTTTTAACGTTGCGAGGTCGTGGTAGATGATGGGAAAGATTGCCAACTGAAAGTCGGAATACCGGATTAAATGGGACGAAATGTTTACTCGAGTATTACTATCAACCCAAAAGTATATCAGACAATAAGAACATACTACCGATGAGGAGTAGGAAAACTGAGATCGCCGTTTCTAACTTAGATGCAGTGAGTCAGAGGTTTGGCGCCATACTGTCGAGCTCAAGTGAGCGGTAACTCGAACCTTGTATACCCTTGGCCTTGGGTTGGAGAAAGGTCCACTTACGACGGAAAAATAAGTCAGGAATGTCCACTGCAGTCTCTCTCACCTTTTTCGATGATGCTTCTTTATCATTGCCCGCTCAACGGGGACAGCCTATAAGGCCAATAGTACAAGCCCCCAATACATGACGGAATGCCCTTATTTCTTTCCAAAATCGGTGAAGGCTCCACCTATGGGATTTTGAATGCGTAAGGATTTCAGTCAATGAGTTGCGACGTGTACTGTGTGTGTGCAGCACAGAGAGCTTATGTTCCCGTCAGCATTCTAGCCGGTGGTATCATCAAACGCCTTCAAATAACCAGCAATACAGCAACATAGCGGGCAGTTTTGTTAACATGTTCTTGACTTTGGGAGACAGAAAAGTGAATTATTAGATGGAACACTTCTCTCTTTCAGTCACGGTGTATACTCCAGCAGGCACTGTAACCCTCGCTACCTGGATCATGCGGTTCTGGCCATTGGCTACGGCGACTTGGATGGCCAACCTTACTGGCTCGTGAAAAACAGTTGGGGTGATGGCTGGGGTATGGAGGGCTATATTCTTATGGCTAAAGATTCCCATAATATGTGTGGAATCGCCAGCATGGCCAGCTATCCAATCCTCTGAACCTCTTACTGGATTTCTACGATCAAAAAGTAGGAACATCCTCATTTTTCCAGCACTTTTCCCGAAAATAATCAAACAATAATCTCCGACTGTTCTCAGAACAATGATTCTATAATAAAAGGGATTCTTATCTGCTGTCAGTGTAGTGTCCACTTTTTCCTTCTGCTAATGCCATTGAAATGACAAGAAAGAAAACAACAGTTTCAGCATTACCCAGAACTCCACACGCAGGGTTTGGCAATCGACGTTTGGGAGAAGTCTCGAGTACAACGGGCATAGTTGAGAGTCAGTCAACCAATATGGCTCTCGATACAAGGGAACTGCCGACAATGGCATTCGTTTGCCTGCGTATTTTTCAGAGAATTATCACTACGCTTCAGGTGATAAACACTTTAGCAAAGCACTCGAGAAGTTAATTCGCATATATTAATCGATACGGTAAATCCGGTTCCAAACGCCCGTGTTCGTATTCTGCACTGCACATGGAGTAGCAGTGAAATTTGTTTTGTTATGTTTCTAATAACAGTAAGGGTCAAGAGTCCCAACGCATTCCGGCCGACTTTAGGCTGCCAAATAACGTGACTGCGAGGAGTTCGGCTAATCCAAGGGTCCTTTGACGTACCGCGAGCCAGTGTTTAATTAGAAACCTAAAATAAGTCCACGAAAACTTATGCACTGAACCTCAACATGAAGGGAGCGCAAGCCTTACTCGAAACCGCAAGAAGACTAGATAAAAGAAACCGTTCGAATGAAGTTGAACTAGCCCAACACGCTCCTCCCAAGGGAGGGAAAGTTGTTCAAAAACCTCTCTGTTAATGTTTCTTTCTGCCAAACAGTGAACAGGGTCGCCTGTTCGAAAACGCTTTCATTGGGATTCGGAAACAGGGGAGCTCGATGCGTTGTTTTCACGAATTCCGCTCAGAGTTCCCAGTCTCCAGTAGCTTTTGGTCTGTCCTGTTAGCGACCCGTGCATGTTCCCTCGCACAAAATCAGGGGCATAACCCGTCTAAAGGCTGTGTGTTGGAACCCGACAAATCTGATGCTCCCTCCACACCTCCAGCTTGCTCGGCAGCTCCGGTTCCAGTCTTGTCATAACTTGACTTGTATAGTCCCGGAAGCAGTTCAATCTTGAAACCTAGTGGGTATGGTCAGATTTCTTAAAGGCATTGGAACGCGTTTGGTTCTGATCTATCACTCCGAGTGGGTCCATTGAAAGCGCTGGCACTAGCCCTTCTGCAAGGCCCTCTGTCCCCTCACAAGCCTGTTTGGTGGAAGTGGAGAATGTAGAAGTTCTGGTGAACGCTTATTTTCAGGTTCTCGTGTTGGAGTACGCAAACATAGCCTTGTGAAATCCTGAGAATAACTACTGCATATTTGTCGAGCCCCTAGCCCACAATTAACTCGAGGTTCCTCTCGTTAGCGGCGGATATGATTATTTGAATTACTTGCAGGGTTTTGAAAACAATGTTAATTGCAAAATTCGAAACCGAATGCAATAGTTGGCAAATTTTCAAAAAACATTGGTCGAGAATATATGCGGTACACTGTCCTTAACATATTTTTAACAAGGCAGCATTCGTGAGGAAAGCAGGTTTTACTGATGTTTGAAATCTTTGCAAACTCGCCTTCGACTGCCAACGGTCTTTATCGTTTATTGATGCGAAAAGGGAAATGTGTAAGATGATAACCTTAGGGGGAGACGGTAAGATGACTGGATTGGAGGTCGGGGCGACAGCGTGATCGGCTTCGGGACTGAATGTTTACCGCTGACTCAAGTGTTGTTTAGACCCTTTAGTATAACTTCACTGCCAGGCGAACCCAGAGTTAGACACGTGATCTAACAAAGCACTCATCGTTGGCTTCCCCTTATGATTTGCAACGGTGCACAATGGTGAAGCACCTTAATTTTCCCACATGGTAACCCTTTATTACAACTTCCCGTGGACAGGAGCATGGACGTTATCACTCTAGAGGATTTCACAAGTCCTACAGGTATCCCCTAATTCATGCTCCTATATTCCATTACGCAGTAACTCAAACAAGGAAAGCTGGTCAACGGAGCACTTCGATGAGCTCACTCCGATAGATTTATAGCGTTGGATGGAGGCGGAAGCAAACAGATGGGCGTGAAAACTGCATGAAACTGTAACTTAGAACAGACAGTCGAAAGTCATTCCCGTTCATCTCAGCATTCCATACCCAGTTCGGATTTTAAGTTGCAGACGAAATGAGTGTATATTTGTCATCTTGGCAGATGCGATTATTAGATAATGAGACTCTAAGCGCCCCTTGTTCATAGTCACGTCTTGTATGATACCCAAGTGTGGAAGGGATCTAAAACGTTAAACTAGAAAGAGAGAGAAGACGCGCGCACACAGTGAAGAAGTTGAAGCCTAAGAAATAAGTTTACACAGAGTGGTATTACAATATGTAGTTGAGTCGTTTCAGACGATGCCCGTCGTGTACTCCACAACATGTTGTGAGCGGGACAGTGAATTGTAGGGGAATTAGTTTAAAGTGACATTAGCATTGCGATGCACTTACCACACTATCTCCTCCCCGCCTGGGCCTGGGGCATGACAAAGTTGAGAAGACCGAAAGCGGGAGAAAGCGCCGGCGACTGACAGGGCGAAACTCGCACCTAAGCATGGCAACACACCTCATGGTCCAAAATGTAAACTGCCCAGGGAACAGCTCGGATTCTAACTGAGTGAGTGTGCCATAAAGGCCACATAAGGCAGTAGCCGCGGGGGCCTTACTCGCCGACCTCCAAGGAGGACCGAGCTTTGCCGTTACTTGAAAGTCCCCCGAGCCATGGAATCAGACTGTTTATAGTGAGGAATATGCGCTAAGACCGTCGACCACACTTACTTTTCACTCCCGCTCACCAGTCTTCCGCCCGAGCCGGTATGCTGGCTGATGCGATGAATGGGAAAGGTGGCTGACAGGGCTAGAGAGCCCGTCTGTACGTTCCACATGCAAAACCTGACGCCAAAATGCACGCACCAGAAGTAAATATAAAGGATATCACACATGTGAGAGCGCAGTAAAGATGGAGTCATCGCAGTCCAACTCTCATTTCGTCAGTTAGTCAACATACAAACACATGCAGGACTGACTACGTGGTCTGATTTGAAACGTCAGTTGGCAACCTTCGAAGCCGCATCTTTTAATGTGCCAGATTTTTTATAGTAAGGATTTATACGCTGAAAGTCGTCACCACTCCATCGACCCCGTCCAGTTAACTGCCCCAACCGGTCGGTCAAGGGATTCTGAAGTTGAAAGAGGTGGCTGATAGAGATAAGTATAACTCGTCTGCGAGTCTCATACACACGGCCTGACCTCCCATGCGTACACACTGGTATTTTGTACCAGGGGAAGACTGCTTTATTCTCAGGTGATAGAGAAGCCATATGCAGAAGTAGCCGAAGAACGTCCTTCTAACTTGCGTGAGTGTGGTTAAATTGTGTGACTTTACAGGTGCTCATGTGTAATGCATGTGTTGATGGGGAACTGTGTGGTGATGCAATCGTGTCTGCGGCGATTTACCACAAATTTTTGTAGAGACGCATGTGACTGAGTACTTCCGTGTGATGGCTGAATGTACAAGGGCAATGCGGGTAACTGAGGCGATGGCGGCGGGTGTATGTTGGTGCTCCAGGCACTGGCTCACCTGTCTCTGCGCGATGGATTCGCAAGTGACCGACCAGACCTGTGCGTGATGTGCATGTGCGGTGATAGTATGGGCAGGCTAGCTTGGGAACTGGTGGGTCGGTTGGGGTTCCTACACTATAAAGGGTTAACGGTGCTGGTGGATGGCGTGTTGAAAGGGCTGGTGACGGAAATGTTTTTAGGTGTGCAAGGTGTGCTAGGGGTTTCGTCATTGCAACACTGCTGTTGTTAGTGATGGGGGCGTTGGGAAATGGAGAAACGATTAGGCTGGGGGTGGTTGATGTGCAAGTTGTGTTAGACGTATTGATACTGCCGTCCATTCCGATGTTGTGGATGCACATGTGACCGAATACACCCATGTGGTGAATGAATGTAGTGAACAGTGGAGACAGTTAACATGAATGCGGCGAGTGTATGTTAGTGCGCCAGACACCAGTTCTCCAGCTTCTATGCGATGGATTCGCAATTGACTGATCAGGCCGATGAGTGAGGAGAGTGAACAACATCAAGTAAGACAGGTCGAGATCGAGTCCCCATCGCTGGTGATGGAGGCGATGGTGGTGATGGTAGTGGTCGAAGAGGAGTTGGAAACGTTCTCACCAGTAGCGTAGGGGGAAAATCTGGTAGTCGTCGCAGGGACTGTGCTAAAGATGATGGACGTTACGGTGATCGACGTCAACGGGGCATCAAGAGTGTGATCATCCGTAGTGGGGACCATCGTCGCGGGCGTTGTGGGGATCGGTCCAGGGGTAAAATTGGGGGTGCTCTAAGAGGCAGCATTTGGGCTCGTTTTATTGTTTTAGGACGGGGTCCGGCGATGGCCAATGAGGTCGATCCGCACGGAAAAGCCGTTGGCAGCATGAACATAGTGGAAGAGGTTAGGTGTTGTTGTTCTGGATCGGAGGCGCCTGGGACTTGGAAGCAGCTGTTTCGGATTTGAGAGCAGTTATTAGATTAGCCTCATATATTGCTGCCCCGGTTCTTGCGGCTGTCCTCCAGACCGGCCGGTTCTGCGAGACGTCTTCCCAAGTCTTCTGGTTGATTTCTAGTCGCTCCAAGGAATTCTTCAAGATATCCTTGCGTTGACGGGTTTGAACAGCGAAATCTCTATAGAAGGGTCGTCCAGGTAGTCATTCATCCTCCATCCCCACGAGGCGGCTGCTCCGGCGCAGTCGCGGTTGCCTCACTACGACGTGGATGCTAAGGATTCTGGTCCATTCCAAAGCTTCCATCTCAGGGATCCTGTCTTGCCAACGCAGCTTTGGTATTCTGGGGGGACAGCTGGGGTGGGAGTGATTCAATTTCCGCCCTTATTCCTCGTAGGCTCTCCAAGTCTAAGATCATTACAGCGGCGTCAACAAGATGACAGCTTTGTGCATGTCCAGTTTGGTGTTAGGACGAAAAAGTGTCGTTTCCATATTGTGATCTGCAGCCGACCGAAGACCCAGGTGGCTTCGTAGATACGGTGAATAAATTCGTCGTCCATTTTGATGTGTCAAGGTCGATGTGTCATTGGAGGCCGTATGCGCCGTGATGATGGCGAATTTGGCACCGAAGAGGCAAAAACAGGGTATCAAGACGTCGAACGTCAGCAGTGAGATAGAACCCGGTAAAGGACGGAAAGCAACCGCTGAACTTGTGCATCAAGGAGAAACTTTCTTTACAAAGTAACTCATCAGAGGCATTTATATTATGAATAGTTGAGAGTTCAACAATCATGGACTCATGGTTAAAAGCCCCAACGCATAGTGCAGTTTTGAACCTGTGGAGGTTCTTGCGAAAAACATAAATATGCATAACTGTGCAGTTACTAAGTCCATGATTTTGCATGGAACTCTGACGTAACAGTTCACTCGAATTTAAAATAAGATAACTTCGGGATAGTGGCACTGAGAGACCAGTATTAATGGGGTAGGTATAGGGTTGCGGATTTGAGAACGGAGATCATGACGATCATGTTAGATGTCTTCAAACTGACTTTCAGGCCTCGTGAATCAATAAACCCAGCAACAACGAAATGACAGTTCTGTGTAATCACGTCAAAAAGGCTATTCATAGGAGGAAGACAGCGCTCAGGGGGTGCATAATTAACCTGTTCTATTCTGTTCTATATAAGCATGTCGTTTCCTTTATTTTGTAACGGCTGTCATGTGAGTCTTATCTTCGGTGGGCGCTTATCCGACTGATAATTTGCCACTCCTCTGATAGCACATGCTCCTATCCCATGGGCCGAGCCAGACTGGGATGGATGGGACCATGGCCCGGTACCAAGTCGTTCGTCCTCTCCCCTTAGAGCGACCTACCCCGTATTGGTTCGCCAAATGCTAAGCCATTCTGCTTTCACTTTGAAGTGATTCAAACACAAGTAACCGTATTTCACCCACCAGGCTGTGGAGCACGCTGTGAATATCGTGTAGCGGTTAAGCGGTGATGGTGTACGCTCAGTACGCCACAACTTCAGGTTATATCCCAAGTTGTTAGAAGCAGGACGCCATTTGGTTAGGACACTTTGTTCTGTACAGAATAATGAAGGGGAAAGTTGGCAACTGGACGAGGATGTGTCCGGCACCGCGGAGGCAGCGTCTGCGAGAGCGACGAGCACTGCGTCGCCGAAGGTCGCCGCTGCAGATTGTTTACACTAGTGGTCTGGCAGCGCCCGCCAATGTACCAATCAGCGAGAGGAGGAACGTTGATTGGCTCCGAGCCCACACGAGGGTAGTGACAAGCCTCTCATGGTGCAGGCAGATAATCGACCAGGTGCGTGTCGCAGACGGTGAATTGCAACGAAAACAATCGGAGCCGGGCAGACGTGCGTGCCACAGCAGGCTGTCACTAGGACTTAGATGCAGGCGTTAGCGAGAGGCGCGACGTAGCCATTATGGCTGTCCACTACAATCGTTGTCGTATGGTGGTCAAATTGTCATATTGGATGTTCCCTCAATCGATGGCACAATAGAAGGAAATTCCCCCGTCTACCATGAGTGTATACATTGCTTTTACTCCTTTCAATGATGACAGTGGAAATGGAGAGTGAGATTATTGTCTACTCTAGCCGGACCTGAACGTACCAACGTCCAGTCCCGGGTGATAATGCTGAGGCTGTCCAGTGGTCATATTAATTGCAAAGTGGACAGGGAATATTCACGAAGAGTTAGCAGACTTCGCAAAATCTAAATGTCACGAATGACATAAGGAGGTCACGTATCTAAGCGATTTTTCGAACGCGAGGAAACCAACGTTTTGTAAGAAACATTTAAAGGAGAGGAATTTCATTAGTATAAGTAGCGATGAGCCTATACACTGTCTGCAAGGCGCCTGATCTTGTCGAGAATCCGCGGGCAATAATCATGTGTTGACATAGTCTTTGTGGGAATCCAGGATCATACGGTGACCAGAGTACTCTTGAGGGAATTCCTCTGAATGGATTGACGCACAGTGTTTCAGGAATGTGTGTTTGCTATGTAAACCCCAAAGTAAGCCAAGAAATGGAAGACTGATTAGAAATGACTTCTAAGACGTCTCTGGCTGTTTGAATGCTGTAGTGCTCATCATCCTTCGGCATTTATGTCCCGTGCGTCACCCTTATTAATAGCAACGGTCCCCGCACTCAATTTAAAGTTTTTTACCTAGATTCAAGATGATGCTTTCTATTCCAATCGTTTTGTTGTACTATGCCCTGCTCTTGGTCAATCCCATGCCCGCTAAGTTTATTTTGCCCTCTTTCCACTAACAGTAGGTTGCCCCATTCTTCGATAGCGTGCATTACTATACTTTCCATCGTCCAGCGCCCCACTACATATGGTATTGCGTAATGTAGGTTTACTTCTCTTACAGATCTTAGTAGGGAGATGGCTATCACTTTACCGCGTGAGTTCTTGGCGCCAAACCAGATCAATAATGCACTTGTAGTGTAAGCTGCCCAACAGTGCTAAGTACCGAAACCCTTTTATTCGACACCCTCCCCACCCTAAGAACGTAAGACAGTGATCTGAGAGGAAGGTTGGGGATTAGTTAGGCTGACAGGAATACGGATGGTAGTTTGGACAAGAAAGGCAACATGGGGAGGTCCTTTTGGGGGTGGACTAGTTGGCCTGGAGATGGTGTTTGGTTGATCCCTCAAGCGAGAACGGGGATAAAGTGTGGAGACGTTGGGGAGGCGTTCTCCGGTCCAGGGTGCCCCAACATCACTTGTCCTCGGTAGTTATGGGACCTCCAGACGATCCCGGTAGATTTAACGTGATCGATGCTGTAAACTGTCGTGTATGTCAGTCTTGAGGTGTCCAATCAGGTTAAAGTTGGAAGATGGCTACTGCGGCGCTTTGTTGCCAGTGTATTTTAGTGGCCGACAACGAACACGTTAGCACACACACTTATAAAGGGTTCCCGCTGTTGCTACCTGGCCCACGAGAAAACTGAACTGAGTTGGAAAGCATCACACCAAGACGCACATGCCGTGAGCGTCAAAAAGTGCCATATATAGGAAGAGTATTTTAAAATAATGATCGTGTAAACGTGTAGAAAGGGTACAATGCAATATAAAAAAGGCGTTACATCCGGGGTGGGGGAGTATTCTGTTGTGTCCGCTAGATCACAGGTGATGAGTGTGGCGCTGGAGGCAGCTGTGGAGGAGGGACGTGGGGATGCTGAATTTATGGAAATGAGAACGCGAGACGATCCAAGACGAAAATAACCGTGGATACGACTGTAAACAGCCAAGAATGGAAGGGGCACCGGCATCTTTCCGACACTCCATCACGCCATCTTCATCCTGAATGGGCGCCTAAGTGTACTTCACTCCAGTTAAACAGCCTGTTCAGGCCGTGGTGCGTCACAGGTTAACCGGCAACGCGCTAGGAAACTAGCATTACTAAGCCATGACTACATATCTACATTGGAACACTTTCGGCACTGAAGTTGAATTTTCACCAGTAGTCGGTTTTATCGTTATCCGAATCATCGTTTTAGTCATCTGGTTGCGTTGAACTGCATATTTCCTTATTTAAGGAGCAAAGTTATAACCGTGTCTGGAAGTATTCAGAACCCCTGTATTTTTTTGAAGCATGTGATTGATTACTTTTTTTCAAATATCATGTCGAAAATTCGGTTGGCTGCAATCACGTTCAGCGGAAATACCTCGTAACTCTCACACCTGACTACAATTGTAAGAAATTAATTTCTTACGAAAACTTGGTTAAAAGCCTACGTAAATAACTGGGTAAAGTGGGGCTTTATTTTCGCATTCTGACTAACCCCAGGGACTAACGTTAGGGCAGTGTTGTTATCAGGGTCGGTGATAAACCAGCAGTGGATGATATGGGGTATTGTAGTCATTAGTTTGTTGTATGCATTGTAGAACTTACTGAACTTGAAGTTGGTGGTCACTTACGAACGCGTCAACCACGTCTGCCTATGTCGACTGCAGCTGTCATGATGGCTTCAGTGGGCACTTAGTTATGTCCACGTACGTACCGCTTTCTTCGGCCTGAACTTAAGTTCGAATTCCTATGCCGTTCACTCCCGTTTCAGGAAGAAGAGCTTGTGAGAAGTGAATTAACTTGTTTTGGTGAATAGGATCTAATCACCAGCAACTTTTTCGCGACTGAATACTCCTGACTGAAACGCACTATCGTACGCTTTGATAGCCATCAGGCTATGGCATTTAGTCGCCGAGGGCTAGACATTTGCTAACCCCTTTGACTTGCGAAATAGCGCAGGACTAGCAACCTAATTGGCTGACAGCGCCCGATATGTGCGAGTAAGGGAGCTTTTCTGCTACACCCCCTCCTTGATGCTCACCCGAGTGCACTTTGCACATCACGCCGGAGATGTCCCTTTGCGCGTACGCACGAATGCCCTTTGTTTAGAATTTAGGCGCCTGTCCGGTGACTTAACTCGCCTTAGGCTACAACGCCCTCAACTCACCCGAGAAGGCGCGTCAACTTACTGTCCCCGTGTGGACAGTGTTCGCCAAGATTGCTGAAAACGTCCACTCAATCGCAACATTAGCCCGCGACCGGGCTATCCGTGGGCGAGTAGAATGCTATCAGGGGCGTTAGCGAAAGAGCAGTGTGTCTACATTTATTTTCGTGTGAAATGTGAATAGTGCTCACTTCCACTTCGGGATATTTCTCCACCACATTTTCAGTAACTCTTCGAAGTACGTCCCTCAGGAGCTTGCAGGCACCCACCCTTCGAAATTCAATGTCGAACAATGATTTGGGGGATCATGCTTTATGACACCTTCCACCAGACCCATAATGCCGTGAATATTGTGCATCATTTGGCCCTTGCCACTAAGGTCTGTGAAGAATCCATTAAGCACCTTCAATAGGGCATCACGGCGAGTAACAGCCAGCAACTCGTGCTACAGGGAAGGCATCTTGTCGAAGCAACCAGTGGCACAAAGTCCATTTAAAGGCATTTCTAGGTGACCTTTCGAAATATGAAGCTGAGGTGAGTGCAAACATTCCACACTTAGAAGCGTTGACTCTTCGGCACCACTTGGTTTGACTTCGTAAGGCAGACAGCTATCGTCGGACACCAAACGCACATTTGTATATCGGCCCCCAACCCGGGTGTATGATGTTCTTGCAATGACTGCATCTAGTTCGTAATCTAAGGGGTAGCATTACCAATCCTGGTTAAGGGACAACAAGGTATCAGAATAACGGAGAACCGTGTATCCTATGTAGTTCATTAGATGCAGACAAGAAGTTGGCATCAGCCATAAGCTTTGGCCACGTATAGATGCTCAGTTTTATCCGACAAATCTCTGTATGCCCAGCACCATGTGCACAGAATTTTTCATTATGCTTATGAAAAGCCGGAGACCGTGCATTTCAAACGGTGCCCGATATTATGACGTAAACTTGTCTCCGTAGTAATTGAAAATCATACCTCTCATCGCACATTTTGTATTTGACCTTCAAACTTACTGGTTTCCTCTTTCCATTGTAAATACCTGTTGCATGTTCACCAGTGTTGATTGATTCGGCCACGATAAGTAGGGTAGACAAGAAGTCAACACTGGGTTTGGGATGCGGCGGAGTCTCACATCCCAAACTGCACAGTTATTCCCTTTGAGTTTGCTTGCATTATTGCCTATCGTATCCGTCAGCTGTCGTGTTGAGCCTACTTAAGCGTACTTCCCTTCGTCTATCGTATGACGTCAGCTACATCTTCAGTCTACAGAACTTTTATGGTTTGTGGCCGTACCAGCTCCAGTCGCTTTAGAACCTGCCAAGATATGCTTGCGACATTTGGGATTTAGGCTGTACGTCACAGCCCGCCACCTTAACTTTTCCCTCCACGGTCAGCTATCCATCCCACAGCTCCTGATAGATGCATTCCAATGCAGTTCCAAGGAGATAGTGTGTTCTGCATCCGCGAGCATGTAATAGCGGCTTTCGTCATCGTTTTTATACATCAGGTAACCTGTTGGCCTAGCCGTTGGATACCCAACGCGTTCATGGATGGCGGATAGTGGAACGGTCTTCCGTGAAGAGTAACAGCAAAGTGGGCAGGCTCTTCGGCTTAGCGAAAAAACATTCGCAGACCATCACTGATATTGCTATCAGGGCGCAAAGTGCTGATGTCTGGCTCGTCCACGCTTGCCAAAAGCGAGGTCTTGAAAGTTAGTACTGGTGGCCAGACAATCATGGTGCTGCAAAAATTTGCTGAACAAAGTGCCTCATCGTATTACTCCGGTCTTGGCTGTCGGTTTCTCGTAGGGTTCCGTAACATAGTATGCGACTCCTGTCATTCCGTAGGGCGCAACTTTGCCAGAGCTCGTATTCGCAGTGTGTTCAGGCCCCTTATTTCGCCTCTAGTTGCAAACCTTGGTAAAAATGGGCGCCTGAACCTCCCCCCCCCCTTAACGGATATCCGTTTCCTGGCCGGATAACAGGGAAACTCTCAGACCCACAACTCTTATGTTTATAGCCAAGTTTTAGGAAAAATCCTAGTGACTTATAAGTCGCCTTGAACTTCTGGCCGCATAAATGCACAGGTTTCATCTATTGATAAGGCGCTGAAGCGTCTTACATGGACGAAATAACCGCCAGAATTCCCGACACCATCTGAACCAACCGTCACCAAGATCTATGGGTAGTCCAAAAACCCGAAGTACCATTGCGACCGGTAGTATCACTAATCGGTGCACCAAATTACGGCATTTCAAAGTGGATATTCCACCAGACCTGCCCACGCACGAGGGATTTTCAGACTTCCATCAAGAACTTTATACAGCTTCTAGAGAAACTGAGAGGAATCACAGTTTCCACTGATTAGGTAATGGTCTCCTTCGGTGTCGTTTCTTCGCTCGCATCCATATCACTAGATTTACCAAGGTTATTCACAGAGGCACACCTACGGCCCTCTGACGAATGTTCCCGCAGTGGCCCTACTAAGACGATATACGTTTGCCAAGAAACCAGCTTTTGTTCGATTACCAATACTATCAACTAAAGGGACCTCCTATGGGGTCACCTGTATCTGACTTTCTTGCCGAAGTAACAACACAGAAACTGGGATCTACGGCTTCTCGGTTAGTAAACCCCAAGTTGCGGCCACAATATGTAGGCGACACATTTGTTGTCGTTAAAAAAGACCAATTGGAAACGCTCCACAACATCACAGACCTAAACATTCCGAGTTAAGCTCATACTCGAGAAACAGGTCAACAGTAACCTCAAATTTTGGATGTTCTCGTACAGCGTAGGACTGATGGGATATTGCACTCTTCTGTTTACGCAAGCAAAACTTATGCGGATGTCATTGCACATTATAACAACAACCCAATCTATCGCAGGCGGAGAACCGTCAACAGTCTGCCTAACCGAGCAAAAACACATTGTTCTGACGAAGAAAGGCGCCCAAGTCGAGCTAAAATACCTTTTTGAATTAGTTTCCTGGAGTGGTTACCCTTGAGAATCTATACTTCAATGCATGAGACAACAGCATTTAACAGAAAAAGAGCTAGATAGTTTCAATCGGACGCCCGAAGCAAATACTTAGTGAATCCTTCCGTACACTAAGAATGTGTCTGAGTTCGTTGCAAGACGCCTGGGGAGACACCAAACACTAATGACGAACAGACTGACTTCTTTACGTATTCGGCTTGCACACCCTGAGGATAGGGTTAGTTATCTTGATAGAAAGGAAGTCGTCTACAAGATCCTATGCGTTGCCTGCGATGCCGCACATTATGGCCAAACAGAAAATCTCCCTCAACACGCACCTACGAGCATGAACTGGCGGTTAGGAGGCGAAATCATCCGTCTCAAATGGCCGTGCATACCCTATATACCGGGCACACCTTCGCCTGCGACAAAACTCGCGTCTGCCCTAACAAAGAGGCTGACTCTCTCGAAGCCATTCACTCAGATGGATCATGTACCAATCAGCGCACTGAGGTGGATGTCGCGTACAAAAATCTCAAAGGAAATGGAAGAGGAGAACCAGCCGATACATAATAAGGCAGACGGCGACTGCTTACTGGTCCCAGCAGACCTGAATCTTAACTGTTTTGACACCTTTGCTCGACGTCTGACAACCTGGGCATTCAGCGTCGAAAAGTTGTCTAACAAAGTTTCCCACTTTTCCCCCAAGAACGTATCCGACTTCATATTAACCCAATCGTGGGGCTCACGGCACTGCATGCACTGTCAAAGCCCTCACCAGTCACCATGTGTTCGTCGCTTACTGGGAAAGATGTACCGCGTTACTGCACAACTTTCCTAATTATTTTTAGGTGTCAAATCTTTAGACATCTATAAAGCGTCTGTACAAGCCACCACTTTGTTAATGAACATTTATGCTCCTCCTAAAAGGAGGATTAGTAATCTGAAGACTGGTTTCATGCACAATATGAAATCTCGTTGATTACCCGTGCTATTCCATTAAGAGGCGTCTCAGCAGCTGACGTTTCAGATTCATTCCCAAACGCATCCCCAGATGCTAGTGAACACATGAGATGTCAAGTCCGTGCCCCATCAAAGGTTTCCTTCTCAGCTGTTTCACGGAACTTGCCTTTTCGCGTGCGCCGTACTAGTCGTTAGTTTAGAATCCTTGTCTTTACGGCAGATAGGACCCGCATTTCACTGTCAATAAAACTCCCCTTTCTCTTTTATAGATGGTCGGAACGACTGGATTCCAGCATCAGAGAATTACGGTGAATCCCCCCGAAAAAGGTAGCTTCCCTCTAGACCACCAGGGAATATGTCAGGGCATGCGGGACGAATGGATTGCATGCATGAAGAAATCCGAATGGGACAGTTCAAAGTGTCGTGCCGAGGCAGCCTCCTACCTCCGCTGCCGAATGGAAAATAATCTTATGGGCCAAGAGGAGGTCCGAAAGCTCGGTTTCAACGAGGAAGAGTGGAATCAGGGCGCTGCCAAAATGCGAGACCAGAAATGAATAGTATACCTTTTCCCTCTCACTACCTTTGTTCGGAGAAGAAAACAGTTATAAAATGCATATATTCATAGGGAGGAAAATGGCGATCACTCCGCATGCAAAGGCGATACCAGGATAATTCCGTCTCCACGTACGAAGAGCATGGGGATTTTTCGTTTTGTCGTCTGTTTCCACAAATGTGCGTTAAAAATCACAAAGCCTACCTTGTAAATCTCCTCGTATGTTTCTTCGTCGAGTTCCAGTGTTGTAATAGTCTCCTCTACCTGACCAAGAATAAGGTTCAGGTGCGAATCAAAGCCCTGGAAGGGGAAAGGCTGATTAGCAGTGACGTCGCCGCATGTACGTATTCATTTTATACCATATTCGTTGTTTAGGCCTGATCTGGGCATAGTATTCAATCAGAGTAGTCACAAGACGGAATAATTATCGAGCTCTTAGTTCTTTGACCACAGACGGAGGCGAGGAGTAAATGTACGTGAACAGAAAGGAATTGCATCGTATTGCGAGACCAACGCATATGCGCTGACTTGCCTGAATGGAGGGTTGATTTGTGCAGATACCGTCCCGAATTGTTGGCCTAATGCCCCCGATTTGAAGGATTGGTCTGAACACTCGTCCCATGAAAATTGTGTGGTAACCTGTCAGCGCATGTCACTGAAGGGAGGACGGTTTTACATATTCGGAGCACCCTATTTTCGTGTGTTGGCGAGCGGTCACAACAAAACATGGTTTTTAAGGCTGCTGCATCGATCAACTTTACAGGCTAGAAATTCCTACAACAGCAAAACTGGCGCGAGGCGTCGGCACGGCTCAGTGAAATGAATCCCAACCCTGAATGAGACAGGGCGTGGCCGGTGAAGTAGTTGGAACGAGCAGGCAATCCAATACGCCCTTATCCTTTTCCATCAGCCCGGGATCTGTGTCTGTGTTACATTGGGTTAAGAGTTAAGGCAGTAGAAAGAAGCCTTTATGTTGGCTCACTTGTAGGAGCTCCGCAAATTCGACGTCCTGACATGGAGATAATTGGTCAATGAAGCCTTTATGGTGTCGAAGTCGACCTAAAGAGTTGCAACTGCTATAATGAAAGAGAGAAGTGGACGTTTTTCTGGCTCCCATGGAGCTGTTGTGAGTTACTTTCTCAACACTAAGTGCGTGGGAGAGATGTCAAATCGGCCGCGAAGAGCGCGCACCAATACAGCACTTCCACAGAGATCGCCGGGGACTTGGGACTGAAATCTTTTGATCAGGCTACTTCCTCTCTCTCCACCAGGATTTTGCACGGACAGGAGGAAGAAGTGTCACTAAGTTTGTGTAGGCAACTGGGACTTGATTTGGAGTAGATTGAGGATAAAGGGTCAGACATGTACCTGAGTCCGGTTAATCTGGTGCCGCCGATTCTTCCCTAGAACTATTTCATCTTCTCGCGACTGCGTACTGGTAGCTGGTCTGGAACGTAAACAGCAATTGAACTGATCTGGCTTTTACGATATCGACCGCTGAAAAGGGACGCAAGTCAAGTATCATAACTACCGTAGAACCGTACCAGTACCCACAATCAGACATTATTTTGTACTCATATAGTTTGCATTCCTTTTAAACGACTCGGCTGCTGCTGTTGTCAGAAATACAGATCTAGGTCAAGTAGCCCTAAGTGATGGCAGGTGTTTAGTCCACATTCGAAAGCGTAGGACGGTAGGACCTCGAAACACAGTGCACCTCGTGCATCGTGTCCACGTTGACCTTACCACCTCGAATGTGTTCCCACCGAAAGCCGGCTCACGCAAATAGGATCTAAAGCGGTATGCGGGATATCATCGGTGGATTTGCTTCGAGGTGAGGACTCGGGTACATTACGGCAGCCGGTGGATTTCAAGAAACCATCACAACACGAGCATTCGGGCTCAGGCTGTTCTATTGAATTGCTGTCGGTCGTAAATAAACCCTCATCATAGCAACGAATAACTTCGGTGTTTCCCGGGCACACGCAGACACCCATACAACGGTTGGCCAATTGGGAGGTGTAGAAAAACTGACTAGGTAGTCGCAGAACGGCGAGGAATGTCTTGTGATTGCCACACACGAAGAGAAATAACATTTCCAGAGATAGTTCTTCGTCGTTTAGGCGTTTACCAACAGAATCTACGTGAATACGAAGGCTTGTGGCGTCAACAGATTACTAAAGTAATTGGGCCCGAAGTGAGATCTCGCGAAAAACTACTTTCTAAACTAGAAAGGTGACAAAGCGTTTCGAAATGGTTCTTATCCCTTTAACGTTTACATGTCGCGGGGGAAGAGTACGGTGTCGGAATTTCGAAGACGACTGTGCTTGTATTAGGCAAATTATGTCGGTCGGCTAGGAAGTACGGTATCTAGTCTACTCACGAAAAATACACAGTCGGGTATGTGTGGCAGGCTGCAGACAAAGAACGCAGTAAGTAGTCCTTATGGAGGCGGAACATCGTACTATTCGTTTGGCGAAACAAACCTCCGGAGTGTGGGGCAGCTATTGGCTGGGCTTTCGAAATTTAGGACAAAAGAAAGATATTAATGACTGGAAGTAAATGCTACAATAAGCCTGTAAAATTAGCGAGCACCAGTGTCTGCCAGCTGCCCTGCAATTTTGAGTAGAGATTGAAAGCTGAATGCGGACTCAAGACCGTTTATCAAAGAAAACTTGAAATTTGTTAGAAATGGCTGGATTGAGACGCGTGCATACACGATCTGTATATCAAACGCTTCTGCCGATGTGGAGGGATTTTGTGGCATGGGAAGGATAAACGCACACATTAAGGGTGTTGATGGATTTTTGAGCACAGACGTACACGTGAAAATGACTTGGGTTTAAAACGGGGAAGTAGCATGCAAATAGTTGGTTATGGTACTGGCGTTCCTCGATCTATCCCCACTGTGGGATGAAGTACGTCTCGCTTGGTCTTCCGTCGCCAGGTTAGAGACCTCGCAAACGATCGCAAAGCAGACAATAATTAGTAATATGAAAGAGAACTATTTAAAAGACCCGGATGACCGCAGAAGTCCATTTTGTTTTCATCGATATGGACTACGAAATAGTTAGGTGGTTGAGGAAAGTCAAAACCCACAATTTCAGTCTAAAAAGGATGTTGACACTCAACTACCACTTGAAAATAAGTGCCACCTAGGTATTTAAGTGCTCGTTCCTATCCACCTTACATCTGACAGCAGAGATCTCAAATCTCAATCTATGTTGTTATCTGCACAGCGGAGTGCACGATTAACTTTGAACTTAGTACATAAAATGCATCACCGAATTCGTAGAATATTCTACGAATTCCAGTTGCATACAGGTAGTAGGGATAATAGTCAGACGCATCCAACCATGCACTCCATGAGATTAAATACAAGTCTCAGATTTAAATTGCAAAGATGTGACGACTTACATGTAAGGTGCCCATAAGTTCGCGATTGTGACGCATTTTCACATAAACCGTCTCGTCAAGACTTAGGCGGATAAGGTCAAGGGGTTCCTCGACTAAAAGAGGCTCTTCAAACTGTATGCACCAACAATAAGGATTTTTGAAATTACCTTTCCCTGTTCTTTCTCGTCCCCATCCATGCTCAGATATTGCAACAAGGATTAACCCAACAGTTATATTGAATCCGCGGAACTCCCGACTGTGCGAACGAACAAATGTCCTAGACTAAACGCACGATTTACGAATGAATCGGAAATATTATTCGAACGTACTGCCTCCCCGTTAAAACTTAAATTAATATATCACCCAAATCAACCTCTGGAGTGCTGAACGGAAATTGGAATAAAGGCGTCTGCGGAAATGTGGTCGGAGGAGCAACGGCAGGAGAGGGACAAGACGACAACAGGGGCACGTAGGCCTCCTTTTACTCGTTTCGCCTCAAAACGTCCTCCTAAAACCTTCAAAACTTCCGCTTTCGCTTCGTCCATACCGCCTGTTCTGACTTGGTCGGATAGCTGTTCCTAACATCGCAATTTACGTCACAATTATTTGAAGTTACCACTTCTCATTTCCAGCATAGAAATTATTTATCTGCTTCCACTTAACCCCTTGATTTGCTCTGCGAAAATTTCAGATCTCAGGAAACTCACTCGATCTCATCTCACCTGAGGGACTGTTCACCACATGCTCCAGAGTAGGGCAAGAGCAGGCACGGTAAATTGCGCCGGTAAGTTTGTGCAACATCTACTTCTCCCCATTTCCCTGCAACTTGGGCCCGGTGTCCAGAAATAACAAAAAGGGCCGGACGCGATAGAAGACGCAGGTTTCTGGCGCGACCAAAACCCGCACCTGGGGATTCTACCACATCCCCTGGTCCACTAAAAAACCTTGACCAGGATTTCAAACAAAATCAACAAAAGCGAAGGTTGATGCGGCTGGGGCTGCACCTGGGTGTGCCGCCACTACTAGATCGGATCCCACTAGATTGGAGTGCCATAAATGCTACATTGAGAAGTCGTTGCACCAAGACTCTCAGATCACTGGTCGGTCACTTCTCACAATGGACTTGACCGACTGTGAGGTCCGAGTTATTCCACAAGTTGACGATCCTCCAAGTCACGGCTTTTAGCACACGGTAATCGTTGTAGGTACGTCAAATTTTTCACAATGAAGAAAATTCGCTAACTCGTCGACCCAAGTCATTATTCATACCTCCAGCCCGTAGCCATTGTCCGACCCGATCAGTCGCCTGATGCAGGGAGTGGGCGTAGCGACTGACAGAGCTTAAGAGATTATCTGCGCGCCGCATGCACGTCGTGGCCCCTCAAATACACAAACCAGGATTTCACACGCAAGAGGGGTAGAACGTTCGGATCTCACGTGCAGCAGATGGGTCACACGGAGATGGGAGCCGAAAAGCACACTTCCCACTTATATGACAGGTGCTGGAGTTTTAAGGTTTTGGAGGGACGTATGCGTGGCGCATGTGATGACGGGGAATGTATAGTAATTTAGTCGTCTGTGCGGTGATTTACTTCAGGTTTTCATAAATGCGCACGTGACCTATTAGACCCATATGATAGCTGGATTTGCTAGGACAGTGTGGGCAGTTGAGGCATTTTAAAGAACAGGATTAGATATATTGCACAGGAACGACGGGAAAATTTCATTTGCGCCGGCATTTAAAGACTAGCTGGGACACCATCAGGTCCCGGGCCATGGAATTTGCAAAAACGCCGAACCGCTACAGTCACGCTCAACAATGTCCGAAAACGGCACCGGTCCAAGATTGGATAGTCGGTAGCCGATAGGTTGAGTTTTTAATAAACGTATTAAACAAGACAGCATTGAAACCATCAGCGGTCAATTGGGCTTCTGCCATAGGATTTCAAAGAACGTCCCCAAATAAAGTATACTTCGTTTTTGTATGAGCTTTTACTTGTCGAAAGGACGATTTCGCGAAGTTTAACGAGGGGTTTTCGGAGAACTGTATCTCTTCGACTGGCCGCATCAAAAATAAAACAAATCAAGGACAGAACGGAAACGTCATTCCGCAGAAGGAATCGAGGAGAGGGTATGCGCAACCCACGGGAAAGGTTAAGGGTAGGAAATCTCATCACGACACTGATTATTTTCTAACAGGGAACAAAACAGGAAATGAGCGGATCCAAAATTTCTTACAGTTTGGCACTGCAAACACTTACATCCGAAATTGAGAAGAAATCATTCCAGTCGTAGGAATTGAGGTAGGTCAATAATTTGGTCAGGCGTGCCGATCGGAAATCGAAGCAGAATCTAGATTTCGGGGATAAAATTTTAAAAGACATGTGTTCTAACATAGAAACAACTGTATCGTGGCCTGATTTCCCGAGTGGGACCAGGGGTGTCACTGAAAAGTGTACGAAACCACTACAGAAAACTAGGTCAGGTATGCTTGATCCTCAGGTGCGAAAATCGACAACCTGACTCCCCATTCCAACATCCACAGCCCCAAATAAGCCTTCGACCTTCTTGGGACCTGACGGCGGAGACCAGCAGACTTCAGGAAGATTGCAGTCAACCGCAACCAATTAATACTTAAAGCTTAATTCAGTCGCAGCACGATAAGCCTGTAAGAGACAACGATCAAAATCCTCACTGGTCTTGAGTGGGCGACAGACACAGCCAGCGAGCATATATAACAAATTTTTTTTAGCGTCACTTGGAACCAATAGCTGCCTTCAACCGCGGAAAAATGCGGGACGTCCAGGAGGAGAAGTGAAAGTGTTTGCTTAACGTAGATGATTCTTCCCCACCACGACAGTCGTGACGATCATTCCGAATGCAAGTGTAGCCTAAAAGAGGTAGTCGGGAGTCCGCCACGAAAGCTGTTAACCATATCCCATTTACTTAAACAATATCTAGGCAATGGACAAATACCAGAGTCGGATGCGAAGACATCGTATTTAGCAAGTATTTGACATTGCGAAGGAAAAGTTTAGGAGGAAGGACTGCTTGTTTTTGATAGAGGTGAGCTAGGTCGTCCAGTGGTCGGCTGCCCGCGGACGATAGGATTTGGATGCATCTGTCTGGTTCTACAAAAAAATTTGGAGCATCAAAAGACTCTGATGTGGATAAAGAGAAGTAGGATTAGGGGGAGGAAATGACGGGCAGGGAGACCGATTATTGCATTGGCTGGCTGATTTTCTGCTGGAAATCCACAGGCAGGATACGGTGACGCATTCACACCGGAGAGAAACTGACGACTGGTTGAGTTAACCACCCAGTTTGGACATTTGCATGAGAATGACACTGATAAAACGACTGTCGAGGGAACACGTTGGAGTAAGGAGGCACTGCATTGATTGAAGTGGGAATTCTATTCATTTACGGGAACGTCGGCATATTCGGCTTAAACGTATCGATATGAGGCCTGGGGATAGTCGAAAAACACACCTCGTTTGGTACCATGGAGTTTGAGGGAGTAGCAGGCGATCGTAAAGGGGAAGATTTTTTTAAGAGAAACTGGAGTTATTCAGTGTCCGAGTGGCTGAAATTGCATTCCTATTCGTCTATGAATTAGGTACTTGCTTAGGCTTAATAGGGGCTGCTGGGGGAATCTGTAGGAGTATTTGTTTATAAGAAGTATTATACGCTTAAAGATCTCAATATCAAGGGTAGTCGCTACTGAACTGATCAAGTCATGTGATTAGGCCGCAGATGACGTCGAAGAAGACTTCTTCGACAAGACAACAGGGCCGACATATATGTATTGGTTGTCAACATTTTAAAATTGTTCCTTCTTCTCAGCGATGGTCTGAGATCCAGGAAAACTAACGACTTACGACGGAATTCTCTAGTCATCTCCTTCCTCGACAAGATGAAGTTAAATTCTACTAAAGCGAATAGAGTTACAAGTATCAGCGCATTACGGCTGTCCGAGCAAATCGTTTAGCTTGCGTGACACTCAAACCTAAGCCACAAATTTTCAGGGACAAATGCGCACCCTCAATAGCAGACATTTAATTGCAAATGTTAGACAGTATAAGATTATGCTTGCCTTTCATCCTCTCCTCAGTTTCGGAGATTATTACTTTGTTCAATAACATTGTCGGAAGAAGTGTTTATGTCACCATATATCAACTAATCTAGTATTTCGTCCGAAGGTGTTCTGTTACGACTAGCAGCGTCGTAGTTTTGAGCGACGAATGGGTCAGGAGGTTCTATAAAAACTAATGGAACTTTTGAGTTAGCCACATCTGGAGACAGCTACGAGCACACATGTCCACCAGCTGTGTCTCCGGCCACGATTCTAGCATTCATAGGGGGCGATGAGGTCGCGAGGTTTCGTGTTTTAGCAAGTCTTCTTGGGGACAAGGCAGGTTTTTCCTGCGATACAAAAATTAAAATGCTGTCAACGCACAACGAAGTGCATAGAACAGCAAACGCTTCTAATTTACTACAGTCACTAGAAAAAGACGGTCTGACACAGCGTCAATAAGCGGACGCTACGAAAGCTGCAGACAATCTACCAGACTATCCTTTAAAAGAGAGGAACTATATCCGGCGACAAAAACTGACTTCTAAAAGGAACTCGATCGAAAATACTCATTAATTACGCAGTAATATCGAGGCAAAGACAGAGGTCCGATTATCACTGAAATTTACCTGCCTTGTAGGTTGGACAATGCCCCATTTGTAGGCGATATAACCCCACCGGACTCCTAAAAACCGCAGTAATACCGGCCAGAAAGTTATGGATGACCCCAGTTATCCCAGTGTGTTAAGGTCTTCACAGCTGGCAGGAGGAATGTCTGATGCCTGGCTTGCTCCGACATTAATAGCGCTTTCAATGTCCACTGCATATACGCTGGTCTTAATTTTCTGCGGTAAATCCTGAAACTACAAGGCCACTTATTCCGAGAATACCAGCGGTTTCGAGACGACACTCACGAAATTCAAATATATTCTCGACAACAGTCTGATGCCCACACGTGTTTTGTACACTTTGGTGTTGACTATAACTGAAAGAGTTCATGGAATTTAAAATTCAAAACCTAGTTCAAACGAGGCGGACCCCATAATCATAAGATAGCCTGAGTGATAGATAGAGGAGGAGGATGGTGTAGCGGCATTATCCGGGGCGCCTGTTGCAGCGATG